ATTGATAAGGGTAGATATGCAAAGGAAAAAAGATCTGCCTCTGCCAGGGTTTGCCACTAAAGTTGCTGATGGGAGATACTTCCCTTTTTCAATTATGGATCCAGCCCAGAACCAGCCATCTACACCTGCTCAGAATGCATCGGTTATAGATCTGACTACCCAAAATCCCCAATATGCTTTCGCATCCTACCACACTCCACACCCTCCTCAAAACAACCACCCCTAAATCCCACCCCATCCTCAAAATACTCACCACCAAACCGCTCCACCACCAGAAAATCAAAACTAAAATCAAAACCAAAATACTTTCAATTCCAAAACACTCCACCACGACTTAAATCAGAATACCAATCCTCACACTTACCCACATAATTATCAAACCGCTCAAAATGCCCAGAGTCCCCCTGTAAATCAACCCTTACCTAAAAAAACAACTTTCAAAATTCCCATCCTTGCCGAGCATGATCTGCACGGTTCTGAGATGGACCATTATGAGGAACATGAAAGAGAGTGGAAAGAAAAGGTGAACTTAAAAGAAGAGATCAATAAAGCCATGAAAGATATCCAATGCGTCCCTGATATCGCCGGGCTTAGTTATTAAGACTTATGTATTCATAAAAATTTGGACCTTCCAGAAGGGTTCAAGATCCCAACGTTTGACACCTTCGGAGGAGTGGGCAACCCTATGGCTCATCTGAGCGCCTACTGTGACCAATTCGTGGGAGTTGGAAGCGATGAAGCTTTATTGATACGTCTCTCCAGCTGAAGTTTGAGCGGGGAGGCTCTGGAGTGGTTCACCTCCCATGAAACCTGACAATGGCCCAACTGGAATGCTCTAGCAAAGGATATTATCGGTCGGTTTGCATATAACATCGAAATCATTACTGATGTATATTCTTTGGAGAAGATGAAGTCGAAATCTACCGACATCTACAGAAAATTTGCTTATAGGTTTAGAAAGGAATCTGCAAGGGTCATACCGTCTATGTCATAAAAGGAAATCGTACAATTGTTCGTGCGGGTGCAAGAGCCCGAATATTATGACCGAATCCTGTTGCTCGTAGGAGCAAAATTTGTTGAGGTATACAAAGTTTGTGAGACTATCGAAGATGGGTTGAAAATGGGAAAAATAGCCCGTGTTGCTGCATCACTCGGATCATCATGAATATTGAAGAAGAAAAGAGAAGAAATCATTGCTTTTCATATGGGGGAAACGAAAACCCCCAGAATCTCCTCATTTCCAAAGGTCGCTCCCGGCCTTCCTAAAATTCCTACCAAGCTTGCTACACGGAAGCTAGTCATTCCTATAATCTTTAAATTTATCAGAATGCTACTTCCACTTATCTAAACATAGAAACTCCACTATACAAAAGTCCACCCCCAAATTACCAAAATCCATCTCCCATTTACCCAAATCATCCTCCACCCTAAACAATTTCATCTCCCTACCAGGGTGCTGCTCCCAACTGTGCTAACGTGCAATCGACCTACCGAGCACCACCTTCTGTCCAAGGTCCACCATATCAAAATCCCCACCCGAACTATCAACATCCAATGCCAAACTACCAGACAAATTCACATCCCAGAAATCAAGCTCCACGTCCGATCAATTGAGGTTCTCAACAAATGCCTCCCCCAAAAGGATGTTATGATCCCCCTCAACCTCAGTTCAAGAAGAAACCTTCGAAGAATTTCACTACGCTCGCCGAAAGCCAAACAAAGTTGTACGAGCGACTGGCTGTGGCTGAATATATATACAGCAGTGGGGCCCAAACCCGTGGATATCAATTCGAAATTCTATAGGATAGATTGGAGATGTACTTATCATTACAACAATGTTGGGCATGATACTGAGTACTACATCAACCTCAAGCACAAGATTCAAGATTTAATTGACCAAGAGGTGGTTTCTCTCTAACCAGCTGCACCTAATGTCAATACCAATCCTTTCCAAATCATGGAGGCAACAATGTCAGTATGATAGAAACAGATAATGATTGGAATAGGACGAAAGTGATAAATCCCATCGTTCATAATGAGTTGGAAAATGTTGTATCTTCCTTGAGCATCAAACAAAAGAAAGAGTTCGTTATCTTGAAACCCGCAAAGGCTGGTGCCTTGTTGCTATCAAAAACTCTTATCAATCAAAAATTTTTGATTGAGACTGCTGCAGGACAAGGTATGACCCGATCCTGAAGATGTTATACTCTTGAGGATCTTGCTATCGGAGGTCAAAATAAGGATAAAGCTAAAAGACCAATAAGCGAGGGTAAGGCAGAGGAATTTTGGATAAAAATGCTGCAGAAAGATTATTCCATTGTCAAGCATTTGAAGAAGACTCCAACCCAAATCTCTCGTTGATACGCATGTATCCGTAGGCACAAACAGTGATAATTTGGCCGCTATGAATCACCAGGTTATTTGAGGGCGTCGAATCAACTTTTGTGACGGTGAGCTGCCTTTTGAAGACAAGTCCCACAAACAAGGCATTGCATATCACTGTCGTCTGTCGTGAAAAGGTTATCTATTGAGTCTTAGTAGAAGATGGATCTGGTCTGAACATCTGCCCATTGTCGATACTAAGGAGTTAAAGTTTGACTTGGTAAAACTTGAGTAAAATCAAGTCAACGTGAGAGCCTTCGATGGGGTTCAAAAAGATACTTTGGGAGCCGTAAATCTTGTTATTCAATTGGGTCCTTTCAAGTTTAGCGCACAGTTTCAAGTCCTATATATTGGTACCAGCCACAACATTTTTTAGGAAGGCCTTTTATTCACATGGCTGGAGTTGTGCCTTCTACCATGCATCAGATTATGAAACTCCTTTGGAAGAAGGAATAGCTAGTCATTCATGACAAAGGTAGTCATTCTGGTAGACAGGCGCCGATTATCAATGAAGTGTCTCGAGGTACTGATTTTTACATGGTGGAGCTGGTAAATGCCACCAGTGAAGACTTGGCCCCACAGCCTCTCATGACTTCTGTTTGTAAGATGGTTGCTGCAGTGATGTTGCAAAGTTGATTTGGACCAGGTTTCGGACTAGGAAGGAATATCCAAGGAATCATTGAGACCATTCATGTTAGTGTCAAAGGGGCAAGGTATGGATTTGGGTACGTCCCCACAGATGATGATGAGAAGACAAAGAAGAAGAAGGATCAAGCATTGTCCATGCTAATCGCTCATCTATATCAATATTTTCCAGTCTGTGAATATGCCGAGCAAAAGGACCTTGGGGAGGGAATCTGTGTCCTTTTTAAAGAGATTGATGCTATCATTGAAGAGAAGGTCGCGCTAACATGATTTCGTGACGTTGAGCCAGCAAAGATGCTGCATAACTGAACCTCCACGCCCATCCTGATCCCCCAAACTGCTTGGTAGAATGGCATCATTTTTTTTGCATATTTAAATCGGTGGTAGTCCCAATGAGGCCCAAGATCCACCATTTTGCATTTTTCTTAACTATTTGAATTTTTAATTTTCCACCCTGATGTTTAAAAAAGCAAACATGGCACTATGCCATGTCCAAAGTTTGCACCGTTTTTTCAATTTGAATGAAAGCCTCTTTTATTTTAAAATTTGTTTATTTACTCATCTTTTATAGTTCGCTTTCCTAACTTTGTTCTTTTATGGTTTCAGTAATGAATGATATAAACCTGCCCATGTCATGTCATGTCCCCAGGTGAATGAACAAAATGAGGCAGGGCCAAGGAATTTTGGCAGTTTGAAAACCAGCGTAAGCCCAATCTAGAGGGAACTGAAACTGTAAATCTGAGAGAATAAGAGTGTGTCAAAGAGGTCAAAATCAGCGTTCACCTAAATGAAGATCAAAGAAAGGGCCTGATTTATTTACACACTGAGTACATTTATGTGTTCGTCTGGGAAGTCAATGACATGATAGGGTTGAGTACCGATATTCTGTCTTACAAATTGCCGATTAATCCAAGGTTCAGTACGGTAAAGCAAAAAACTAGGAAATTCAAGCTGATTTCAGTTTAAAGATTAAAGAAGAGATCACCAAGCAGATAGAGTCTGAATTGGTGGAAGTGACACAATATCCGACTTTGTTGGCCAATGTTGTTAAGGTCCCAAAAAATATGTGAAAATTAGAATTTGTGTCGACTACATAGATCTCAACAAATCCAGCTCTAAGGATAAATTCCCATTTCCAAATATTCATATTTTGATTGATAACTGTGCTAAGCATGAATGCAATCATTTGTGGATTGTTACGCAGGTTATCATCTGATTCTGATGGACGAGGATGATGCAGAAAAGACAACTTTTATTACACCTTGGGGTGTATATCATTATAGGGTGATGGTATTAGGCCTCAAGAATGTTGGCGCTACTTATATGAGGTCTATGACGACTATATTTCATGATATGATTCATAAAAAGATCGAGGTGTACGTAAATGACATCATAATCAAGTCATGAGAGAGTTCGGACCACTTCACACATCTAAGGAAGTTCTTTGATCGTTTGCGCCATTACAACTTGAAGCTAAATCCCACTAGATGAGCTTTTGGAGTTGTAGACAGAAAGTTATTGGGATTTATAGACAGTAGAGGGGTATTGAGCTCGATCCTTCTAAGATTAAAGCAATTCAAGAGTGACCTCCGCCGAAGACGAGAAAAGAGGTGATAAGTTTCTTAGGGAGGTTGAACTATATCAGCCGATTCATAGCATTATCAACCGTGTTGTGTGAGCCCATCTTTAAGGTATTGAAGAAAGACGCTCTGACAAAGTGGACTAAAGAGTGTCAGACTGCTTTTGACTCTATGCAGAACTATTTTTCAAATCCACTGGTATTGGTTCCTCTGTAAGAAAAGAGTCTTTTGTTGCTGTATTTGTCAGTCTAAGATAGTGCATATCCCGGTTGGAGACTATTCTTTGATGGAGCAGCGAATCGTCAAGGGAAAGGCGTCAGAGCGTTCTTAATGTCGGAATTTGGTCAGCATTATCCCATGGATGCTAAGCTCTAATTTAGTTGCACGAACAACATGGCCGAATATAAAGCTTGTATCCTCGATTTTAAAATCTCCATTGACATGAATTTCCACGAGCTATTGGTCATGGAAGATTCAGATCTTTTGATATATCAGGTTAAAGGAGAGTGGGCCGTGAAGAATATGAACATTATATCTTACGTACAGTATGTATAGAAGTTGTGAGAATGATTTTGCAAGATCGAGTTCAGACATACTCCAAGAATACAAAATGAGTTGGTTGATGCTCTTGCCATCATCGCTTCAATGATTAAACATCCGAATACTCATTATATTGATTCTCTAGATATAGATCTGAAAGAATATCCAGTCCATTGTTCACATGTTGAAGCAGAACCAGACGGTTTGCCTTGGTATCTCGATATAAAGAAGTATTTGGAGTCAGGGAGTTATCCTGAAGATGCCAAATCCAAACAAAAGGAATTCAGTATGCTGTATGGCTCTTAATTTGTTTCTAAGCGGAGAAGACATTTATAGGAGGATTCTAGATTTGGGTCTTCTCAGATGTGTCGGTGCTGTTGAAGCTGCGAAACTTATTAAACATATATATGTTGGAGTGTGTGGATGACCATGGAGAATGATCCTTTGAACCGGGTATTACTGGTTTACTATAGAGAATTATTGTTGCATGTGCAAAAATTCCATAAATGTCAAGTGCACAATGATTTGATTCAAGTGCACCCTCACAAACTTAATGCTATGAGTTCACCATGGCCATTTGTAGCTTGGGGTATGGATTTCATCGGTCCTATAGAGCAAGTCGCTTCAAATAGACACATATTGATTTTGGTCACCACTGATTACTTCACCAAGTGGGTGGAAGCACCTTCTTACAAGTCGGTAACATAGAAAATTGTAGCTGATTTCGTTCGTAACGAATTGATATGCAAATTTTGAGTAGCAGAAACCGTCATTACTCATAATGGTACAAATCTCAATAGTCATTTGATGAAAGACATATGTGAGCACTTCAAGTTTACTCACCGAAACTCAACAGCTTAGCACCCTCAAATGAACGGAGCTGTAGAGGATGACAATAAGAACATCAAGAAGATTTTGAGGAACATGATTGACAATCACCGAAATTGGCATGAGATGTTGTCATATGCTTTATTATTTATCGAACGACTGTCAGAACGTCGACTGGAGCTACTCCATACATGATGCTATATGGATCAGAAGCAGCTATACCTGCTGAAGTTGAAATTCCATCATTGAGAATCATCCAAGAGGCTGAGTTGAGTAATGCTTAATGGTGAACAAGAGAATTGTTCAGTTAAATTTGATCGATGAGAAGAGAATGGTTTCCGTTTGTCACGATCAACTATATTGACAGAAAATGATTCGCGCTTTCGACAAGAGTAAGAGCTAGAAATTTTGAAATCAATCAGTTAGTACTTAAGCGCATTTTTCCGCATCAGGATGAGTACAAAGGAAAATCGCACCAAACTAGCAAGGACCATACATTGTTTGTAAAGTATAATTGTTTTGTTCAAAGTTTTATCCCTCTTTTAATGAACTACGTCTGATCTGAATTCTCAATAATTATATACCTAGGCGACATATGTCTGCCTCAGTAAGTTTATTTGTAAATTTCTTATTCTTTTTAACCTTTGAGAGGGAACTATGTTTGACCTGATATTTGCATCAACGGGATACGTAGGCGCCATAAGGGTTCGGTCATATCTCCCGTAAGGTTTCTATTTTTCTTTACAACAAAATTGGGACAAAATTTTTGAGAGAGACTAAAAAATTCTCAAGAAGAAGATTTTTCCTCAACAAGTCAAAATTGAAGATATTTCGAGATTTGCAACTAGGACAGAATTTTTGAGAGGATCTCCAAAATTCAGTGATCTACCCAGTTATAGTTCAAAGATAAGAAAGATAGTTAATTGGAACATGAATTTGAGGATATTTCAGCGAATAATCAGATATACCTCCAAGCATCAGTCTCAAAGAAGTTCGCTAAGCCAGACGTGACATGACACTTGGCAGTGACCCTTTTCAAACTATTACTTCTCAAAAATTTATTTTCCTAAAGATTCCCCTTTTATGTTTTATCTGTTTTGGCATAAAATATTTTGTCTTATCTATCAAGAGTTGGGAGATCAGGAAAACCAACTGGAGATAGCAGGACAGAGAGCAGATGATTGAACAATCAACATAAATCAGTTCATTAAAACTTACGATTTTTCTGCGGACGCAAGAATTATTTTATACTGTGCATATCAAAGGTGAATCAAGCAAAAATCTCAAGGAAGAGTTTACGGTTGCGTGAAGGACTTCATTTTCATAATAATGTCAGATATGATATTATACATTACTTGGAAGGATTTTTTTTTTATTTTATTGTCGATCAAGACGATACGTTACTCGTAGGGGTCATTTATATTGCTGATCAAGACGATATACTATATGGAAGTCATTTTACCAATATCATCAATTAAGACGGTATGATTAGCTAGAAGGTACACAAAAGATCACTATGTTGCTCGTTTAAGCTCTATCTTCATTTGGTACCAAGGAAGACATAGAGTTTTAATCACAAAAGGATATTTATGCCCTGCAAAAGATCATGCATCGTGAGTCAATATTCATGCATAGCGGAAGATTCATGCATCACGAGTCAATAACCATGCATCACAGAAGATCATGCATCGCGAGTCAATATTCATACATTGCAGAAGACCATTCATTGCGAGTTAATATTCATGCATCATGAAATAAATATTTATGCACCGCGAGAAGATTTCATGCCTCACAGAAAGTTATGCATCGCGAGAAGATTTCATGCCTCGCGATAAGATATTTATGCCTCGCAGAAAGTTATGCATCACGAGAAGATTTTAATACCTTGCAGAATTTATGCATCGCTGGAAGATTTTATACCCCGTAAGAAGTCACTCATTGCGGAAAGATGTTCATGCCCCACAAGAAATTATGCACTTCTAAAGAAAGAATTGTGCATCTCAAGAGAAAATATTTACCCCTCAACGTCAATTGCATTCTTTTATTTTGATAAAAGCAAACCAAAGAAGACGACATCAAGTGAAATATCAACATTGCATAAAATTTTATTTATTTGAAAATCAAATGAAAAATACCTTAAATATTATATTGCAAACACAACACATAAGCTTTATTTGCTTTATGTCAAACCAATCGAGTTGACATCAAATATCAGGGAGAACGATTAAGTGTCGACACGGTAAAAGACACTGTCTCGCTTTTAATTTGATTTTTATGCTGACGAGTTTTATCTCAGTCTTTGTCGAGAGCATCCGAAAGTATGATTTCTCCAAGAAAAAAACCACAGGTGCGGACGACATAAAAAAGGATGCAGCGTAGTGTGAAACTTTTTCTTAGCGGCGAACTGAGACATAGTCCAAAGAGGAGTGTCAAACATTTAGGACGCGAGAAGAGGAGCGAATTCCACCACAATCAAACCACAACCCTATCAGAATGCAGAGTTTTTCTTGGGCCTTTGTCAGTTTTGGTTTTGCATCCAAAATTTTGCTCTGTCGGAAGTAAGTTTTCGATATGAGTGACAGTGCACTAAGAAATATGTCTATGTAAGTTCTTACCTATGGATCTGAAGAGCTCCACCTTCATGGCTAAAGGGTTGCAAGCCTATTTTTCACACTCAACTTCATTTATTACTCGTCCAGAGCTAAAGGTTATCTAGCATAACAGATTTCCTTTTCAACCTATCGAGTCGAACTACAAACAGCCTGATTCCTTCTGCTTAGGATATGTAAGCGAGCTCAATGTTGAAAACTCGGTTGTATTTCAACATTCACTCTTATATCTTATTATCGAGCGTTGCAGTACCTTTAAAAATCCGCATCAAGATGGCTTTTGATTTCTTTCAAAATTGCGTGTTAAATTAAACTTATTGAACTATAAATGGCCTGAATTCTCATATAGCCTGAGATATGTAGGAAACCCTTTTCCTGGGTTCGGCCATAACGCCAAAGTCCGTGCCAAATCAATTCCGGAGTGATGAATTTGTGGTTGGTCAAATTGGTTTGGTCAATTTCATTTTCCTCAGATTTCTTGCAACAATTCTAGTAAAATGAGGTACAATGGTTGACACCCAATTTTGACCCGCCTCGATAATAATTAACTAGTAAGCTTCTTGAGTTTAAACAATTTAATATATATATATATATATATATATATATATAATAGTATAAATAAGATTTTAGATTGTGAGTTATTTTAAATAAGGTTTCACGTTGTCTATATTATTTTAGCTAGCGTATATGTCTTACATAATTATTTGTATATTTATTTAAATTTTATTAATTTTCAAAATTGAAAAATATATTAGTAATAATATATACTTCATCTCATATAAATTTTTATTAGCAATTTAGCTATACAATGTTTCGTTGTAGTTAATTACTTCGTAACCAAATTAATTATCTTATTTTTATTAACCTTAAGAAGTTTGTTAACTTATTATGTTAATTCATCTTTTAAACTTTAACCAATTTGGCATATTACATTTTCATTTGGCTAAATGGGTAATTTTCTTAAGACAAATTTTAGGCCACCTTTCAACAAAATTCCTTGGGCTCAATTCTTTCCCTTTAACCATTTTCAGCAAACCAATATATTAATCCTTTTCTCTTTGCAACTTTTAAGACCAAATACCCAACCCAATATTTTTGCCCTAGTTCAATTAATAGTCCAGCCTACCTAAATAATACCCAGCCCAATATTTTTCTCCTTTGAATCGAAATCAGTAAACCTTTTTTCACCAGTAATTCATTAGATGACCTGACCCATTTTAGGCAAAAACAGTGTTTCCGAACGTTCTAATGTCTTCCCTGGGAAGATGACAGCACCAAACGCGTAAGGTCTACCGCAAAACCACGACGCACCTCTTTCTTCTCACGCAAGAGTGAGTCGACAGAAATCCGTTCGAATACACGCCAACTTCAACGACGCTAGACGAAAAAAGAGGTCACACGTTTTCCCCTTCATGTTACTACTTCTCGTACACTTTTCTGCAGATTCTAGGTGTTAATCCATCCTTTCTATTGCGAGATCGTTCCGCTTGGCATGGAAAGGACGATTGAGACGATATAAAGCGTAAACCTCGCCTCCCTCCCTTTGAGAATTGATAAAATTGGGTACCAAATTGGCATATTCCCTCAATTTGGAGAGGATTTGGGGTTTGAATTTCAAATCTTTGTGGTCCGGGAAATTGATTTTTTTCATCCCTTTTTCCCTATTCTGAAAACCTAATTGTGCCTCTATATAAGGTTTTTCTTTGATCTTCTGAGGGTTGGGGCGGGGGTAGATTTTTTTCCAGAGTTAAATTCTAGCCCAAGGGTTTTAGTTGGATATTTTAGATAGAAAATTTCGGGAAAAAATTATACTAGCTTCCTAGTTGAACAATTTGTAGGAAAGATTTCAGTTCGGAGATCCTAGCCACAATCTCTTCATAGTAACACACCTACATGGAAGAAAAGTGGATATTTTCCTTGTTGGTTTGAAAATTTGAGTTTTTGGCCGCTTATCTTTGCTTTTTTCGTTTTCTAGACGGTTGTGTGTTCAAGCTTTGCATGCTGAAAGTGTCGTTTCTACTTGTGTCTCATCGTTTTAGTGTTTCTGATAGGGGTGAATCTCATGTTTCATCATTTTATCGTTTCTAATATGGCTGTCTGTTTTTGAGTTACCACCAATGATGGCTTCTTGCTTATTTGTTAAAAAATAATAATAATGTTTTTTTAATTCATTTGATATGGTGATAATAGTGTGTTTAGTTGCTAGCTGAGATTGAAATTTTGTCATATAAATTGTCTGTGTAGGTTGGTCTCTAAACAATATTTTCCATATCTGCTTCAAGTGTACCACATAGTGCTGGAACTATGTGTCTGGTAAATGGATTAAATGGATAATATATTTTGTGTAGTGACTTGTCCATTCTAGTTCGAGTGTCGTATCAGTTATTGTTCTCAAATATCATATGTTGCATCTTCTTCCGTTTGCTTTAGTTTTTATTTAGTTATCTTTTTTTATCGTTATTGAGGTACAATTTTTTCTTTGTTTTTTTATATAATTTTTTTTCATGGCCAGCATAAATGGTCTAATCCCGCGTGTACTCTAATTATATGGTTTACCTATTTCTTGAATGTTCTTTCCATCTTGTTGGATAATGCAATTCTTTTTATTTTATCAATTTTGTGTCTTAATGTCACTTAAGTTTTCTGTCTAAGAGGCTTATCTTCACAGGTTGAAC